CCAAAATTTGGCCCGCATAAAGAAGGATACCAGTACAAAAAAAAGCCGATAAAACACCTACAAAAACATCAACAATAAGCTAAAGCCTAAACCTCTGTTTTTAGAGCAACTTTTGCTCAAATAATGAAAACAGTACGATGCATCTTGTAGTGCTCACTGAAAAATTACTTCAATTTGTACCAAAGCGATTACCTTCTCTTGTTCTTGTTGTGTTTCATGGATATTAAATGAATGTTTGGCACATAAAATCTATAAACTTTAACCTGAAAAATGTCACAGACAGGAAATGTTTGACCCTTCAGTGTTCGGGTCAGGAAAACCATTTAAGTTACTAATAGATAGGTGTGGTGTGGAACAACGTAAATTATCAGCCTAAGGGGACTTCCTCACAATGGATTTTATCTGTCACACCACCTCACCTGCATAACTTTCTTCTGTAGTGTGTAATCAGCCGTTTTGATTTGATGTAATTTCTTATCAGACGACTCTGTATCAATGAAAATTTGAACGTGTAGCAGGAGGGATGGCTGAATCTTAAGTATTTAGGATCCTTACAGAGTAGCAGTAATAGCAGTACCCAGTCTTTGAATTTACTGTAATGTGTAATTAATGTATCGTTAGTGCCAAAAATGTTGCTTACTGTAATTCATAATGCACACTTCATGTGACCAGGTTTTCTGTTGGCCTGTACCACCCAAATTGCAGGACAACACTTTTGAACAGAGCCCAAATATTGTCCAACCCAAGATTTAATCTTACTAACATTCAGCCCATTAATTGACAATGTTTGGAGAGAAATTCAACACTTTTTTCTCAATACTCACAATGCATAACACTGTCCAAACATGCAGTATAGGAGAGTTTCAAAAAATCATGTTGTTCAAATAAGGTGAGATGCATCATCAAATTAATCAATTGCCAATTTCCTCCAATCACATTGACATATTAACCCCTGCCAACATGTACAGGTGAATGGCCTGGTCAACAGGTGGGGAGGGGGGGCAACCCATACTTTATATATACTACGATTTAATAAAGAGTCACAATGAATAGTTCAAGAAACTCATCCTCATCATGATCATGTTTTAATACTTTTTATGCAATATTTGGACCTACAATGTAAATATTTTTCTGTGAAGCAACATTCTAAAAATCAAAGTTAGCTCCTAGCAATCATTGGGAAGTTTACAGTGCCAGTTCCATAGGCAAGAATCCCTTACATACTAGGGGTATTTCCAGGCTCTTAAAATGCTTCACAATGGCAGTCTTGACATTTTGAACGATACAAAAAATAGGGAATATGTACATTCTACGCAGGTTTGTATTTACACTATAATGGAAGACTAAGAATGCAGCTTTCCTTCTGCACTGCAGCAGTTCAGTCTCCTTCAGACAAACCAACTGTGTAATAAAAGTTTTCATTTTGTGTGGTGGAGTAATAATAATAGCATTCTTTTCTAGGCAGAGGTTGCCTGATAACATCATAGATAAAGTTTTGTTGCTGGAACTTGAATTGTTAACCTGCACAATAAGTTCACAGTTTCAAGCGTTCAGTTTCTTTTCGTCACACGGACAAAAACAACAGTTAAGTGAAATTACAATCACTTATTACATCTTTCTGCAGTGACAATAGGTTCACATGTAAGCAATTTACTTTCAGTCTTTCTTATCCTCTAACATTGCACTAAATGACTGAGCAAAGTCATCTTCCCCTGAGCTAGCACTTGCCTCACTGGATTGCTGAGCTTTCTCCAGCTGATGCTGCTTCATTGCCTCACGCAACCGCTGTTTCCGGGCTTTTCTCTGGTGTGTCCGTGATGCCAGGTGGGCTAAAAAATCATGGATGGCAATATTGAGAAAGAAATTCCTTTATCTTTTGCTGTTTTTAAAGTCTTATTTTTAAATGTCAAGATATAGGACTGATACCAGATACCAGCCAAGTTTACAAGCAGATCATATGTGGCCACAAACAAATGATTCATGATACATTAAAATTCCTTTGATATTCTAGCTCATCGTAAAAGAATTAAGATTCATCACCATATTTGAGATGGATTTCTTGATGGACAGATTGCCTGTATATAAAACTGGCATATGTGCCCACTCCACACACACACACACAAACACACACACACACATACAACACACACAAAACACACACACACAAAACACATATCATTGGCAGCCATGAAGAAAATTAGAACTTTGTTGTACCTTCCCAGCTGAGCTGTCCTGTGATGACCCTCCCTCCGCACACCTCACAGGTGTAGGCTGTGTGTCGGTCCACCTGTCTGGGCTCCTCATACGGCACAGGGGGGACAGGGGGATCCCTACCCTGGAGAACAGGGGCAACAATGTCACGGTCATGTGTGAGCTCTTGGTTAAGTACAGGGGGATCTAGGCCTACGAAAAAAATGTTGTGTTTCGTGTTTCCCAACTGACCATAGCCTTTTTTGGGTGGACCACTGCAAGCTAGGGACATGAATTTTTCGAGCTGATTGACCATTTATATCTCTATGATATGACACCTGAGTGATGAGACATACAATTGGTTTTCCAACATTGACATTGAAAATATAAGTGTCCTTATGCAAGTTTTACTTTGTCAATCTGTATTGTATAAGTTGGATCACTAGAGATCGCTAAAGTCTAACAAAAAGGAAAAAAAAAATCCCTACCTACCAACCCTACCTGACACAGACCATAATTTTTTCAGAGGCCCTATATCCCTCTATATCTGTGGCTACAGTTTAATTTCAAATTTAGTTCAATCCACAAATGAGCAGTATTAAAGCTGACCTGTACGTAAGCCTGGACAATGCTGAGTGCCGGCTGCAGGACATCCTCCTCCCACCTGCCAGGGTAGTTGGTAGAGTCCACCTGGAACACCTGCGGCACATTCCCACCTGGACCTGCATAAACAACACAATCATTTCCATTCAATGCCAATAACATAATGGTTTGAGCCTGACATTACATGAGCATGCCAGTTGGTCTCAAAAAAAATGTTATTCTATGTAAAAAGAAATATATTCCGCATATAAGCTAGACAGATTAACTCAGAAAGTATGACTTGCACGTTTTCTGTATGTAACTAGCTAAAGTACATGTATTGTGCATGTACATGTCAAACATATATATGTACGAAATGTAGCACCATGCAGTATGCACAAGGTAGATAGGTGGCACTTTCAGCATTCTTCACCATTGACTGTAAGTTAAACTCTTTTGTTCAATGCCCAATGAAAGAATCACAACCACCCACACACATCTTTTACCACAAAAGGGATTACAGGAAAAGATCCCAGCTGATTTGGAAGCAGACAGAATTACTCTCTATTCTTATCACACTGAGGATCTTGGAGGAGAGTAACCTTACACTTTCCGCTTTCATAAGTACAATGTATTGTTGCAGATACAGTAACAAACTCCTGTGTAGAAGTTTCAGTACAGTCATGAGTATAAAGGCTAAGAACATAAAACCAAGTTTGTCATCTTTTCAAAACACAGCTAGCTGCTTTATAGTTATATATCATTACCTACCTAAAGGGTACCTACTGCCTGGGACCCGAGTCAAGGTTAATAGTATACATATACATCTGATTGTGATAATATAGTTTAGCAAGAACAGAAAGAAGCGCAAGAAAGTTCAGCTTGCAATTTCTCACCAAGTCTGACATATTAATCAAAATTTCAAAAGTGAACAGATTACTGCAATTTTTCAGACAATCAAGGTCTAGACCTTAGAGCTAAACTTATAATTTGCTTTTATTAGGCTAAACTTTTAGGAAAGCAGCCTTCTTAACAAAACAAAAGAAGCTTCTCTAACAATACTTTTGATAAGAAGAAACAAGATATATGTATATACTTCCCAAAGATCTCAATCCCTGAGCAAATGTAGCCTGGAATCTGTACCAGTTATTTTCTCAAGTAATCAGTCTTCCTTCCTTCCAAGACATGACAGGGAAACTTAAGACCTCTGAGACCACCAAGACAAAGTCAAACAAAACTTGAGCCTGGTTGAAGTGATCTAAATGGAAACAACTGTTGGAGATCAGAGCGGTGCACCAAAACCAATTACCATCCAGCCAAACGTCCAGTCCCACTGTTTTTCTTTCTTGGGTGGTGCCGATTGTTCCCTCAGATTACTTTTATCCCGAACGACTTGAGTCACCCATACAGAATATCTCAACTGTAACTCAAGACTTGTGGGACGCTACATACAGAGCTGACGCTATCAAAGATGACACTTGCATACAATCATGCAAATATTTCTTTGTTCTTTTTTTCACTTATCATACTGGAAAACATACCTGGAATTCTTTTGTCTAATTACTTCTGAAAGGTGTTGAGTCAACAATTATGTGGCATACCTTAGGTATAAGGAGACAACAGATACACCTTAAACATTACATACCGGGACATGAATCACCAGCAAACATATCACATTCTATCTGGAGCTAACTTCTATTCATATCTACCCATTGATCACCTCCAAGATTTTATAAAACCTAACATGGAATATGGACAAGGTCATAACTTGATGTTAACGGTTATATATATAATATACATGCATTTTTACCTTCTTATCATGTTCTTGTCCTCTTACTTTGTATTTCAGATACATATCTTAGTTTCTAGCCTATGTACACTTGTATTTTACAGTATATTTACGTGTGTTGTGGGAGCTTCTCTAGTATTGGTTTATTTTTCCAGTTAGACCCATGTCTTTTTCACACACATCAAAGCCTCCAGTATGTCTGATGCAGTCCTTTTAGTTTTAGAATCTTTCAACAAACAAAACCCACACATAGGACCAGCTCAAGAAGAATCACTGGAAGGGAGTATATGGAAGAATATTTTTAAGGAAAAAGTTTTAGTATCTTTTTCCTGCCAATGTACAGCTTTGCTTTATCAACTTATTATGTTGCAATTTTTTTCATCTCCTTTCCCCATCCTTCATAGTTCTTGCCCCCTCCCCATAATTCTTGGTTTCTTCCAGAGTTAGTCCCCCCCCCATAGGAATGTTAAACTTGTGGGGTCCACAGGATAGGGTGTGCTGACGTCTGTAGCGTGGAAAAAGAAAACCACCGCAGCAAACATTACATGTAAGGAGAGAGGCCTGGCAGGAAACGCACACACCAACACACTAAGTGGTCCTTTCACCTCAACTTTCAATAGTTGTCCATCTACATTTTTCAACATCAGCGGTGCTGGGGGTAAGGATATGTTTCTGAGTAATTAGGAGGGGTTGATCATATCACATAGTCTAAACAAGAATTATCCTGGGCTCAGAAAATACCCATAAATAATAGTTGAGACAAATATATTGAATCAGATATTCCAAAATGGCGTATTTGAAGCACTGAAATACTTAGTATGTGATTGTGAAGACCAAAGGGTACAATATGTTTGAAACAAAGTTACAAAGAATTATATTCTTTGGTACCCTGTTTCAACTGTTTCAAGTATGGACTTGGACTATGATTCTACAAGTGTACTGTACAGTTTCCATTACACCACACAGTAATCTCGTATAAAAGAAAACAGCTAGCCTGTCTTCATGTAATACTGCACAGCAACCACAACTCCTAAAACTAAAGGTACCGACTTACTTATCTAAACACATTATTTTTACATTGATGGATGCAGTATTGTCCTCAGACAGGACTGTAGGAGTCTGGTCCCAGCCAATCTAACTGAGACTAATGAGTCGTGACCAACTAAAGAAAGCCTCAGACAACGTTTACCTGAGCACACAGGTAAAAGTACACCTACAGGTATGCAGGTAGTGAAACTTGATACTTCTCATGCTCCATTTTCTCACAAGAAGAGTACTTTCTGTGGGACAAAAAGAACTACCAAAAGAAAAGGTCATTAGTAGGCATGTTAGACGTATGTTACACAAAATAGTACGTATGTTAGACGCATGTTACACAAAATACTGCACATCCAAAAACAGCTGATCTTGCAATACTATAGATACAATTTTGTAGATTCAATGTATTATAAACTTTTACAGACACCTTTCTGTATGATACATTTGTACCTTAGCTGACACAGGGAAAAAGTAATTCTTCTTTGAATCTTCTGCTGCTTCTATTGAAGTACAAACTTTTATTTTCGGCCATCTCGGCTTAAATTTTGTAAACCAAGCAAGTTATCTTGACCAAAAAAAGGAAAGAAAACAAACAAATATCAAATTATAGGGACAAATATTGAAAAAAAGTTATAATTCACTGGTCCTGACAAGACTTGTATGATATTCCTTACTTTATGCCAAGTATCTTTTTTGAAGTTGTATCTAATGTTATTAGAGCACAACAATAACAAGTACAAGGCTTGAGGTTAACTTCACTGACAACAAAGTGATGAGATATCAGCTATGCTGACAAACATTTCCCAGAATAACAAAGCATAACAGTTCCACCGTGCAGCTTTGCAGAGGTACTGACCAAAAACTTCCGCTCAAACTATTCTTGGGTATGTAAATATTTGTCTTTCCTTGTTATTTTCTGTATTGTAACAGTACAATAATATTGCCATTTCTCAGACTGAAGAAGTGAAATGCACAGTATTCCAAAGGTACGTTAAAAGCTAGTGCAAAAATTTTATCTATTCTAATGATGACCATCGTACAATGACAAGACTTGTTGCGTATTTTGCACAACTATCTACTTGTATCTGGCTTTTACTGTCAACAAGTCAACAATACATGATCTAAGAATGAAGATGACACATAAGAACCAGAAATGTTTTTTTCACAGTTGGCCCATTTTCTATCGGTAGCCCCTATGAGGTGTGTGGGTTTGTGAAGGTAATGTCTATTGATGCCCACATGCCATCACATGTCAGGTTCCCCCACAGTTCCAGGTTTGCACCTGAACAAATAACTCCATCAGCCCCGAAACTCGCTGACTTCACATTTAATTGTTCCTTCCACGTGTAGGACCAGGTGTGGGGGGTAAGATCCTCTACTTTATCCCGCGGGAGCCTCACGGGCCATCAGAACCCAAGAGAGCGGCAGGCCTCGCCCGCACGACTCACCTCCCGCAGACAATACCCAGAATGCCTTGTCACATTCCTGTCCGCCATGGCCACAGGAAGTCCAGAGATGTGTTTGTGTTTGAGGCTCATTAGCGTCAAAAATTCGCCAGTGATGACGGAGATTAGCCATGGTTGTAGGAGTTGTGAACGCCATAAAGGTCAGGGAAAGGACAACCGAGTCACTCAAAACTGAAGCAAGACAGTCAACTTATGAGAACACAACAACAACAAAGAAACTGTGGACTGTGTTGCAGAGATGCAACTTCAGGAGTGGATACAGACCTGTGATTTATCCCACAATGCACCAGTTATTCTGTAGACAGTTAAACTAACTTGTACCAACTAAAATCGTTATGAGAAACAGATAATGACATCACAGGACAACTTATTCCTTTCTACACAAGTTCGAACAAGTAGTTTCAGTAGCAGTGCAGTCTTGGCATGTGTAAAGCTGCTTAGTGTGTTCCGCCAACACTGCTGACTGTTGCTGTGTCCTGGTATAGAGGTCAACATCGTGATTTATGACTGCGTGAAAAAGAGAAGTGGAGGACGCCAGACTTGTTGGCCTCCTTACCTTCTCAGGACAAAGTCTGCTCTACTTCGGGAGAAAACTGTTAGGGTGATGAACTTTTCTTTTTAAATGGACACCACGAATAAACCAATCCATCCCATATGCTGCAACAGGCACTGTGCAGACATTGAAGTGTAATGTTATGGATTCAGTGATATAAACTTAAGTGGAGTGAGTCTAAAGATAATTATTGTAATCCACATGTACCTGAGTGAATTTATAGTGGATTCATTCCTTTATTAAGCTAACTGATATCTCGCACACAGTTAAGACATCAGTTAGCTTGAGGAATAA